TAACAAATTTTATCGTTAAATTTCATAAACTTCTCTACTGTCAATTCAATGTGGTAATCTTCGAATGAATATTTGATGCATTACTGTATGTAATATAACATTTTTAATATGTAAATACAATAATAACAAAAACTAATTGTAATATTTTACACTTACCTTTGTTTTAAACTTTTGTATGAAAACGAGAAATTCTTAGACAAGTGCAATTCTACGTTTTCATCGCACCAATTAACAATCGTGCATGACTAAGTAAAATTGTCAATGGAAGAACTTGAAAAATTCCTAACTAGGGTTTTTCTTTAAGAAACTCACAACAATTAAATTTATTATAAAAAATTGCGACTGCAATATTTTCAATTTTCATTAAAATTATTCTAAGTATTTTAAGTTTTTAATTTCTTACATGTAAAATACAAAATATATTATAAAGTAAGTGCTAGTAAACAAAGATAATTATTAGAAGTGAGCATCCTCTTTACATAAATTTTATGAACAATTTACATTTATATGTTCTGATTTAAGGATACATAAATTTTTGTATACTAAATCTCATCGATCTTTGTCGAAATCCTAGAACCAACACAAACGCACAGTGACTATGGTTTTATGTGAAATGGAATCATGCACTATTCACCACCGTAAGTACATTTTGTATGCCATTCGCCATCGTATGCATCGTACGCCATTTCACATAAAACCACCAACGTGCGTTTGGGTTAGTTCTAGGGATTTGGCAAAGATCAATGAGCCTCATTGTATACTTTCTACTCTATGAATTATTCACTTTTTCATAATATGGAAATTTTTGTGTAGATGGCGCAATCTATAGTTTCTGCAATTTGCGTACCATTGCCCATCTAAATGTATAGTTAAGTCAATGGACTAAAAAAGGATTAGTGGACATGAGATAACCTCGATAATAAATAATACAATATTTTTAATTATGATGATGTAAATACTTGAGCTAGAGTAAATCCAAGTATTTTATTTATTAGTTTTTGTGTCATACTGTGTCATGAATTTAAGTAAAAGTGAAAAGCTGCTGGCCGCTAAGAAAAAGGTATGTTTTGAAACATTGACAGTTACTTAAATATTTTTCGTTTTACTTTTATAAAGAAATTACATTTGTAATGCTGCTTTAAAAGTATAGTAATGTTTTATATTACTTATATTTTTGTATTCCCAAATTTCTAAACGTTCAAATTACATTAGGTGTCAAACGTTTAATTTTAGCAATTTGTTGTTAATGGTGAATTTTTTTTTGTATGCAGTATTTACTTTTATTTGATAAATAATTTGAAAAATGTTATTGAGTTATTAATCTATGGAATATTATTTTTTATTGTGTTTCATAAAATTTTTAATTTTGTCAGCTCAGGGAATTTCAGTTGAATAAAATGATGCAGGATGATTCTGCTAAACAAAGCCATCCTCCCATAGATTTATCATCTTCTCAGGTAAAACAGATTTATTGTGTTACAATATTCACTTTTAAGATTGTTATATTTAAAATGACATTTATCTTTAATTACATTCTCAATTTTAATTTATTTAATTTACAGTGCCAAAATGCAGAAACTAATAAATTGAACATAGAAGTTACAAATAATACATCTACTATAAAAACTTCTGAAAACAACATACATACATTTGAGCAAGATTTTCAAATAAATGAAGTAGTGTCCACAGATTCAGGGATAATTGCAGAAAACATTATAAATCATGAAAAATTGCAGAACTCTTTAAACAATACTACCAAATTAACACAAGATATGCAAGAAATGAATTTAAAACTAGAATTGGAAAAAAAAATAGATTTAAATGATTTTCCAAAAGTGCAAAAGGAACATCTCTTGGAAATGGCTTCTGCAGTTGCAGATGTGTTGACAAATGAACCTGAACATACAGAAACATCCTTAGATAGTGATTTAATGTGTCGTAACCAATTTTTAAGTTCCTACTTGGAAGAGCAGAGAAAAATGATTAATGATTTACATATAGAACTTAGTAATGCTGTAAGTGTGTATATATGTATATAAATGTTTAATAATTTATGCAAGTTATTCAAATTATAAATTTTTAGTAATTAATATAAAAACATAATTTTTGTCAACAAATATAAAAACTTGATATTCTAAAAGTATATTTTATAAATAACTTTCTTTTATTAACTTAGCATAGCAGAGTTTCAGAGTTAGAAACCAATTTAGAAGCAAAAGAAACAGAATTTCAAGCGCAACTAGCGCGAGAAGTAAATCCTTTAAAAGAACAGCTTCAAGTTCATACTCAAACAACTGGAATTCTAATAGCAGAAAAAGCAGAGCTTTCTGCTGCTCTTAGTCAAGCTCAACAAAGTGTCAGACAAAGTTCTGGTTTGTTTTTTAATTTAGTTATGTTATTAAACATATAGCAATTATAAATTTTTATTAAGTAAAAAATGCACTTATTTAGAAGAAGCTAAGGAAATGATGGGGAAATTAAAAAATTCACAAATTCGTATAGTTGAATTAGAAAAAGAAATGTCTGTTACAAAAAATAGTAATGAAGATTTGAAAAAAAGTTTTCATCAATTACAAAATGAATATGATTCCCTCGATAAAAAATTTTTTGAATTAAAGAAGGAAAAGGAAGATTCAAATTTAGAAGTATCAGAATTAAAACAAAAATTAAATTTGAAAAAAACAGAATTAATTGCTGTCCAGCAAGAACTTCAAGAGAAAACAGCATTACTTTCATTAAGTGAACTTAGAATACAGCAGGTAATCTATACATATATTATTTGTGAAAATATGTATGATTTGCACTGTGTTTATTTTTATAGATGAAGGGTGCTACACCAACAGAAGAAGAAAAACATGCAGTAATTCTTTTGGAACAAGAATTGGCACAAACTAAGGAATCTCTAAAAGTTGTTAATACTGAAAAAGATGAAGCCAATAAACAATATCAGAATTATGTTAAACAATTGGATGCACAGCAAACTAAATTGTTAGATGAGGTATGTTTATATTTTATGAAATTTTTAAAAGTAATGTAAACTGAGAAGAATATTACTTTTCTTAATGTATAAGAAATTTAATCTGTGGAGAAAAATCTACTTATAAAATTGGGAAAACTATGTGTAAACTTATGTTAGTAAATGTTTTATTTTCTTAATAGATAAAAGTACAGAAAATGACTATAGAAGATTTGCAAGAAAAAGAACAAAGTTATGTGCAAAGACTATCAGAACTTGAGCAATTGCTGCAGCAAGAAAAAGAAAAAGTTGAAAATCTGTTGCCTTTACGAGATCGTAAAGATCAATTGGATAATCTGTTGAAAAATATAGATGAACTCACATTGGAACAAGAAAAACTTCATATTATATTATCTGAAAAAGTAACCTTTTTTATTAATTCGAGTATTACAAATTAATTGAGGGTTATTTAAAATTTCATGAATTTATTAATTAATTGTAACTAGGGATTTCATATTTTGAAACTTATGTTAAGAAACATCAATAAATTACACTAGTATGGTTTAAATATGAAATAATATTATAAATTAAAATATTAAAAATTTCTTTT